AGTGCTGGCGTCGGATTGGTCCATCTTCAGTGACTGAGGGTAACTGATCTATCCGATGCGTGTGCGTTTAGATGGTGTTGTGTAAGGCCGCAGCTCGTACCCAGCTCAAAGGAGTCTGGATACGGCTGATAACCTGCGAACGGATGGAAAGGTGTGCCCTGGCCCCGTTCTAGCTCTTAGGTCAACATGAAGCTCGCGCGCTAAAGCTCCCTTTTACCTGGTTGGGCACTTGAGCCAAAAGTATATGGCATGTACCTGTATAGCGACTATACTGGGACCCCATCCCTATTGACATATTTATATATCCTCCAGAAAGAGGCATGGCAAAAAACAAGCATGATCAACATGTTGACTATAGTGACTAGAGTCTCGGCAATCACAATCTTGAGCAATGGCAATGGTACCTTGAAAATCCAACCTTGCTTTTTTTTGTAATCGGCTGATTTGGAAGCAAAAAACGTACTCTTTCAAGCAAAAGTGTAATCGGGAGTGAAAAGTGCTATCGTGTCTTCCTGGCCCATTTCAGTGGACACAGATCCACTTCAAATTGACCCTTCAAACCTGACAAACTTGGGCCATATTTTTGTCCGGGTATTTCCGCCTTTGTTCCGCCTTTTGGACGGGTATTTCCGCTCTTGTTTTTTGGTGTTTCTTTTGAGCCCGGTGGCTGGGAACCCTTGGGATCCGGTTTCTCATGTAACATGTTTGGAATGTTGTGAAATACCAAAGAGTGTATGTTGGGATCTGTGAAGTTGAGAAAGTGTCATTATTTCACAAAACAGTGTTTTTTTCCAAAATGACTAAAATAATGCTCACTTGTGGTTTACTAGGTAGTCTTGTGTCGAAGAAACATCCCATGGCCCCCCGTCCCAACTCTGTGCGGTTCAGTGTTGGTTCCTCAAAAGTGCGGCTCTGCAATGGGACAGCAAAATCATGCTGGTGTATCCAGTAACGCAGTTCAACAAACCCGACCTTTCAGCTTTCTTGGCCAAAGCTTCTCCTGACGTCTCCAGAACCTCTCGTGCCAAATGGCTTAAATGCCGCGCACAGATATGGTGAAATAAGATCTCGAATGATCCACCATGGCTTCTTCCGGCAAACTGCTACCCACGCTGGTCCATCATGAAGGACATCAATGGGATCATCGGATCATAAACGCTAAACACCCAACACTGAGACTGCCTCTCAGGTTCCTTCAAATATGTGAACAAAAGCCCCACATCACTGCAAAGTGAAGAACAAAAAAGGAGCACTTTGTGTTTGCTGGGCAAAAAAGGTCGTAGTGTTGTGTTCTTGTCTGAAGCAGTGGCTCATTCAAGCTCACAGCTGTTGGAGTTCATTGAAAACAGCAACACACTATATAAATGGTTGTTTAGGTATATAACTAATTACATTACACACAAATGCACACAACTATGTATGTACATGTATAATCTTTCATGTCACGTCCCTTTTCCATGTCCAAACTGCCAAGTTCTCACGTCGTGCCAAGCCTCGCAGGGCTTCAGACCAGAATTTCAGACCCAATTTCTTCGCAGAATGCAGGGCTTTGCGAATTATGTGCAAGTTGAAAGAAGTGGGGCCACTGTTTCTCACAAGGCCATTGTTTCGGTCCCGGGTGCAACGACTCGGGCAGGCTTTTGCGCATGCCCTGAGCTACTTTTTGGATCTTTTTGGTGGTTCTCAAGGCTCTTTTGCAGGCCTTTGAACCTTCTAAATGGACATCCTTGAGCTCTGATCGAACCACAATTACAATGCCGGGCCTCCTGCTTCAAGGCTGCAGTACAGCTCCAGCTCTTTCTTCGTGTACCAGCTATGAGGATCAGCTCCAGGAATGTGCAGAGCGGTACAGGGTGCAAACTGTGCATGGTATTTTCAGATTGAACAACGTCTGGTTTGTCAAGAAATGCGACATAACAACTCTAAAAGTGAGGTATACAGTGAATGTGGTATATGATTCAGATTGATTCAGGTGGACATGATAGAATCTGATGGAAAGTGATCCATGCATTCTGATTTTAACAGAGTTGCGTCTGAAAGATCGACTCCAGAGTCGCCCTGAAAACCCCACAGTTCATTTGACCAGTTGGGGCATCTCAAAAGATCCCAGCAAACCTTAGCTTCTTGTCGTACTGGCAAGGAGACAAGTAGTGGAGTGAGGGGAGCCATCCGATGACGAACCATTCCGAACCATCATTTCAGTCGCTCTGGGCGCATGAGTTCCGAACCATTCCCTTCTGAGATCAAGTGGGCAACCGAGGTCCGGAGTGCGACCGCGGTCCTCCCGACGACCGAGGTCCACCTGTTCGGGTCAGAACACCTGGAGTCGTTTGGGGGGGGCTGTGCCGCAGAACGGTTTGGAGTGTCGAACGCAACGTCTGGGTCTCTCCATGGTCACCATGGTCTGTTCGAGCAGAAACAACAGGACCAGATCTAACACGAGGTTCCGTCTTGTGAACCTCGTGTTAGCCCTTTTAGTAGAGAAAAAAGACAACAGGAATACTTGAGTCGTTGAGTAGTTATAGCTCATATTAATACATCTTAGCCACGCGCTGCATCACACCCGTGAGGACCGAGAAAACGCTGCACCCCCTCGGCTTGAGCCGCAGGGCGGAGCAAAGGACGAAGACGGTGGGATCGTCCACAGACGACGGGAACGGGTTGGGGGAAAGGGTATGGAATGGTGTGAGAGCGATGGACCCAAAAATAAACATGAGAATTGAGTGAGACTGGTTGGGTTGCATCCCACTACAACTACAACCTGTGTATATATATATATATATTGATCAACGACATACACAATCATATTGAAGAAACATAGTCCAATTGTGTAAGAACATAATCTACCCACTCGACTCAATGACTCCAAACTTCAAACTCTTTGCTCCAATCTGTCTGGAAACACATTTTTGAGCACACTCTGACTCTAGGGGTGTCCAGGGGTGGTTAATTCATTGTGTTGCTAGTAGGTTGGAGGCCATCGCTAGTAGGTTGGAGGCCATCGCTATTTATTGCTAGTAGGTTAGCCTTACGAAAGCTTTCCCATTCAAATGCTTGACTGGGCGGATTCCTCCCGCCGCATCTGCCGACGAATCCCACCAGCGGTTCACAGGTAGCCACCGCCAGATCCGAACATGGCAGTGAGAAGCGAGCGGCAAGACCAGTTGGGAAGGAGGTCGCCAAAAGCAAAGACCCACAGGGAACACAGGAGCTTTGCTCTGCCATTGGCTTGCTCTTGAAAATCAGGAGACACTCCAGAAAAAAGAAGGTACAGTATAAAACACAATATATACACAGTAACTGGATATAGTAACAAAAACTTTCAACACAAACTTCGTCGTTGGAGTCACACGTGGGACCGGGAGAGCTAGTCGCATCTTTCATCACGCTGGGACCGGGAGATTAACACCAAAATCCCACTCAATAAAATCAGGCAGGTGTAATCTAGGAGTTCCATGCCGGGATATGCCGGGATGGCTTTTAGTCACCTTTAAGCCATGGTGTAGTGAATCTATTCCTTGGCACCCCAAACAAAACAATAAATATCAATAAATCTAATCCAATCATTACCCAAACACTTCATGTATGCATGTCGTTTACTGGGGTGAACGAAAAGGTGTCAATGGTATATTCAATATATTCCAGTCCCATTGTGTCTGGGGCCGCACCGTGTACGGCCCAAAACACACGCCCGGCGCTCTTCCACGCCGCGGCGCCCAGCTGTCTTCCCGACGCCCAGGATTGAAACGAGAAAAAGACATTGGTTTCAGAGTCTACTTGACGATAAAGAAAAAGACAAAAGAACCTTAAGATGTCTTTTAATTAGCTGGTGATTTTATAAACCACCGAACTTGGGGATTGTGCAATCTACGCTTGGCCCGGAAAAAATAGAACGCACACATAAATAAAAAACAACGTTCATCCCTTAAAGTTGTTGGAGTGGACATTGGAAAGCAACAGAATCAACTCAAAAATTGAAGGAGATTCTGATGACATGGCGACGTGAAAAGCACTGGTAGCAGCGATGTCAATTTCCTTTTAGGGAGAAGGGAGGGGTCGGTTTGGCACACCAATTGGTCGTACACCTGAGGGTGTCCCCTTTATTCATCAACCAACCAATACTAGTAGGAGATGGTAGGAGTAGTCTGGAATGAATCGTGAGACCGCTCGGACACTCGGACACTCCACCCATCCAGTGACATCGCTCGGACATCGCCCGCGCTAAAACAATGATTGTTGACTGTAGCACGAGTCCTAAGTCTTGGCCAGGGTCACCCAGCAGGATGGTTCAACCATGCTCAACCATCAAGCCTTTTTTTGGGCTTGTCTGTTGAGACCTCCCAAAGAATTCTCAATCTGAATCTGATCACTTCTTGACCCACATGAGAGACATGATCAACATGATGGGTTACCCCTTAGATAGCTGGTGAAGTTCAGGTATACTTGCAGCTGAGAAGTCATGTTCTCATCATCCAGGTGTCACAGCAGTGTCTGGGCATTTCTGTTGTGGCCATATGTCGTGGTCAGTTCTAGCCATCCATCATGCAGGGTGCCACAAACTCTCGCTGTGCGAGCAGGCTGGGTCAAGGCTTCAATCTTTGAAAAGGTAGCGAATGGCAATTAAATGTGGGTCAAAAGTGTATTGAGACACCTATAGGATTAGGTATAGTATGTTGATAGTCAAACTCCACTGTACTCTTGTTTTGACATCTTCTGACCCACTGCTACCCTTGACAGGCGAAGAATATCTGCGGCGTGTAACTGAGTTGTCAGGAACACGCAGGCGCTAAGATGCTTCCGAAAGGGGCAAAGGACACCTTGCTAGGACACAAACGGCGCTTGTTTTGCCTGTCCAAAGCCCTCGCGAAAGAAAGAATGCTGTCACCACTGATACAAGCACTTCGGAGAATATCGGAGAGGAATCCTCTGGTTTGCCAGCAAACCTTGACTGAGACTCCGACATGGTTTCCTGTATCCGACGCAGCGTATTCAGAACCCTGGGCAAATTTAGTGCTTGTCACATATGGCAACAACTGAATTGCAGCAACATGTTCCTCTCACATTAGTGAAAATAGAGCTGCAGCAAAACCTAATCCCAGGAATTCCAAGGTTTCTGGGTAGGTTTCTGAGGTTTTTGCATTCAGTGAGGAGTCCAATAGAACAAAGATCCAAATTCTTGGATGATATCGATGGCTCTTTCCTGCAGCGATGTGGGCGGGTGATGTCCATCTGCTGCACGAGAACATGTGAGCGGCACCACCTGAGAGAGAACACAACTCAATTATCTAACAGTGCGAAACCAAATCGTCCCACACATAAACTTTAGAAACCAAAGAGCTGCAAGCTATATTATGTCACCTGTCATTCTCTGTCCAGGGCATTAACAACAAACTCATCCGTCCTCAAGGTACATACACTGACTTCTGGCACCCCCTTGCCAAATTGGGATGGTTCACACCATACGAACCACTGACGAACCTCCGCCGCTGCTCGGATCTTGAAACAGTTGGAGCACTCTGCAGCGGAGACGACTTGTCGTGTCTGCAGCCGCCCTGGAACACCGAGGATTTGGCCTACACGTTCTGGGATGTCAAAGCCTCGACAGTGAACAAAGGGTGTTGTGGCTTGTGTGATTTAGATGGAGTAATTGCGCGAGGCCTCGGATTTGGATTTTCCTGTGCTGTGAAGTCCAGAATGGTTGCCGACTCCTCTACAAATTCACCTAGCTTACTCCCAGGTTAACACAACCCACCAATTGTGTGGACCCAAGCCACAACCAACACCTGCACTCTCAGCAGCATTTTCCAATGCTCAGAACGCTTGATCAATCCTGCCAGGTGGGCCTGCTGGGTGGCAGCCCAGCAGGCCCACCTTCCCAGCCCAGGGCTTTGGTCAGAGCACTTGGGCTCTAGAGATGCTGATCGCTGCATTCACAAGCTGCATTCTTCCTTGCAGGACAAGGGTTCCTGTAGAGAGCACCACACTCCCTGAACATTTGGCAAAAAGGCCCTGCACCAGAGCGTTCAACAGATTCTGGCTTCTCCAGAAGTTGTTCAGAATTTCTTGGAGGAGGGTGGGGGGGAAAGAATTTCTGAATCCAAGGGAAATAAAGCGAAAAAGCCAAACCAGGCACAAAACACTCAGGGCTTCTTGACACTTGACCCAACAAGCTCACCAAGTCAGCAACAGGGTCGACAGCCAGGGTGAATTAGAGAGAGTGGTATTCTTACGTGCAAGCCCATAAGAATCCTACACCTCTACAAATTCACCTAGCTTACTCCCAGGTTAACACAACCCACCAATTGTGTGGACCCAAACCACAACCAACACCTGCACTCTCAGCAGCATTTTCCAATGCTCAGAACGCTTGATCAATCCTGCCAGGTGGGCCTGCTGGGTGGCAGCCCAGCAGGCCCACCTTCCCAGCCCTATCGAAGAATTGATCAAGCCCCCAACCGTCCAGGTGGGTTACCACAACCCTGCTCAAAGTCCTTCCAAGGAGCCTCCAACAACGTCCGCGCATTTATGCGGACTCTTCGAGCTGGATTAAAGCCTTCCAAGCGATTGCGGCTCAAGTCATCTGCCCCCATTCATTTCTCACTCCAGCAACGTGCTGCGGGTCTAAACAGACGCCCAGGGCACAGCAGTGGAAGCCAATAGCTTGCAGCACATAACATAATGGGGCCTGCATAGTCAGCTTTTTTCGCGCACTAGCAGCAGTGCCCGAGTTGTCACACAGCTGACGCAAGCGCAAAGTGTAGCCCCCTGGAGTATCTTCGCAGCCTGTCCGTGCAACAAGCAAGCACAGCTGCGCCAGTCCTTCAAAGGAGGCGATATCTTGCTGCAAGGTCGCTTTTGCGCACAGCCAAGCCGGCAAAGATGCTGGAACCAACTGCTCACTGAACCACGACACTTCAGACTTCCTGACATCAGCCGATGGACACCACCAACCACCAATGCCAGCGTGATGCTGGGTGGCAAATGCATCAGCTGCGGCTTGGCCCCGGTCTGGCTCCAACACCCGAAGAGGAATCTTGACTTGGCGCTCAACTGCGCGAAGAAAAAACTGTGCAGCCCAAGTGGAAGCCCGGTTGCATGGAACCATATCCTGAGAATAATCATAGAAAACGCAGCTAATCGATCCCTGGCGAACCCGCGGAGTTCTCAAAGGCTCGCTGTCCAGAGTGGACACTGGGCAATTCCAAACTGAATGGAGTTTCCATCCGCGGAGCACATCACAATCCCGCAAATCCTGGGAAACATAGAGTCCATCAGTTAGTTTGGCGAGCAAAGCCCCAAATTGTCCAGTGGACAATGAGCGAAATACACAAACTGGCTTGAAAAGTAGTTGGTACAAGCTTTGCAACCACGGCTTCAGCCAGTAAGCTCCGCCGCAAAACCAGACAAGGAGGCCCACACAACGCTCGACATGTTTGCGCGGCACCTTGCGCCGCACCGATGTCAAATCTTGTAATAATCCCACCAACATCTGCCGCTTGTTGTCCGGCAATTCAGCTTGGCCAAGACCCCAATCAAAAGACCAACCAATCCACGATTGCAAGTGGCCCACGCGCACTTTCTCCCAAGAGAGAGGGACTCCAAGCGCTACTAAGAAAAGGAGCAAAGATGTAGCCAAGAGGGGGCACACCCCGGCAGGAAACAATGCTAGCCCATCATCCACGTAGAGGAAAAAACCGTGCTTGACCCAGAGAAATTGGTGACAATGCCGGACGAGGAAGGCACCAACCCGCGAGAACCAGTAAGCTGCCCACCGACATCCAAAATAGCAAGACCTGTAGGCAAACCAGCGGCCTTTGACCACAAAGCAGGATAGACCCTGCTCTGCAGGGGCAACCTTCACCAGCTTGTGAGCACCCCTCACATCGAAGTTCAGTGCACCCCAGCACTCCCCAGGCTGGGTGAGTGACATGAAACGTTGCACACTTTCAAATGTTGGCAAGCGTACCTTTTCCTCAATCACACAACGGCTGTTTGCGCCAGAGACGGTGCCGTCGCCAATGAGACGAGGTTTTTTGCCAGGTGGTTGAGCAATCCCTAGTTTTCCCGCAGCTACAAGGTCACCCCAACGCAGCTTCGCTTCAGCTTCACCGCCAAGAAGTTCAAAAGCATGTCCTGCTGCCACGTCTTTTAGCATGAGATCAAGTGTGAGATCTTCACGGTCAAGTCCACTACGCCACGGTTGAACATGAATGGAAAGGTCATCTAATTGGGAATCCACTTCGGTGCAAACAGGTTCCCAAATGCCAGAGGCAGGGATTGGCTCCACCACACCAGTTGGAACCCCCTGCGCCAGTAATGGCGGCAATGAACAATCCACATCGTTGCAGTAAGCACCCAAAGCTGACCAAACGTCCAGGAGAAAAGGTTGATGAGGACTGACCATGTCACTACAGGCAAAACCCTTGCTCGCGAGAAAGGTCAACAAAGTCTGTCGCGCTTCAGAAACTTCCATTGCTGAGAAAAGCATCTCATCTGAAGGTTCACGCGAATGCTTCTGCAATCTGCCGACTGCGCCCCAAGAAACTACTAAGGCTTGGAATTGATTCCGCAAGTCCCGCAGCAAGTCACGCGCACCGCGCGGCGCTAACCAATCAGCAGACGAGGCGCAGCCACCGCCATCCGGAATAGGAAATTCCGCACGTGGCGCCATGGCTCCCCGCCCTACGCTGTCCAATCTAGCGACAGCCGTCGCTGGAGGAGCTGAACTAGTTACCGCACCTAATTCGGCCGCTTGGGGCACGCAGGACAATTCCAGCTCACGTTGATCCAGCATAGATCTCATTTCATTGGCTTCATGATCTAGTCACTCGGCGTGTTGGAATTTGCAGTCAGCACCAAAGGCACATTTGCCAGTTTTCTTGAAGGCAAAACACTGAGATTGAGCTCGCTGCTTTGGCTCACCAGTTAGCTTGCCCTTGCCCTGGTTGTCCCGTTGCTTCTTGCCATCAGTAAGAGGCTGCGGCAACCGACGCTTTGGCTTTTTGACCACAACATCCTCTTCCAAGCCGGGCAACGCTTTCTGCACCAATCTGGGCCTCGGGCCAAGATAGTGACGAAAGAAATCTTCACGAACCACGCAATCAAGGGCGGTGTCCAGGGACACTCCATCACGAAGCACCTGCTTGAAGACTTCAGTCAACACCTCCCGGTCGGCATCCTCAGCTTCAGTTGGGTTTGGCGCTCTCCAGCCCGCGCCATATTTGCGAGAGTAATGACTGATGAATTTGTGAGTGTACGTCAGCCAATTTTGCAAATGACCGCCACCACAAAGGGCGTAAGCATGTGCACGAGTGCAAAGAATTTGAAAAATGCGATGGGGCGACCCCCCCATGTCCAAGTCCCATTCTTCACCACACAGACCTGCTGCCTCAGCCAAGACCTCCGTCAGATCCCTCTTTTTTGTGCCTGCTTTGCGGCTTTGGACATCCCAAAGCGCAGCTTCGGAAAGGATCCGGCGCCATGCGACCCAAGCCCAAGATTTCTGTTGACATTGGCTCTGGATAGTCTGCAGATAGGGCAAACAAGGGGTTGTCTCGGGAGTGAGCGCGGCTCCTGGGTAGTTGCTTTCAAACACTTTCAGCAAGGCTTCGCGATCCGCAGCACCAAATTTGGCTGGTAGACTCAAGGAGCCCAACAATGGCAAATGCTTGGCACTGGCAGGAGCCGGCAATTCTTCACCCGAACTCTTCTTCCAAAACGCGCGGAGGTCTCCACATGTGGGCGATGTCAACCATTCCGCATCGTCCAGGTCTTTGAACGAAACCAACTTCAGTTTGAAACGTGTAAGCCAATCTTCGAAGACGTTCGAGTCGACAAAGGCATGCGCAAATGAGGCTTTGCGTTTGAAACCCATTTTCAATATAGCCTCAATCACTTCCTCACATAAGCCCTCTTCTCCCATGGCTTTGCTCCACTCGCAAGCCATCACCGGCAAAGCAAAAACAAGTCAAGCTGTATATCAACTAAGCGCAGCAATAGCAACTTCTAGCTTTCTCAAGCATAGAGATTTGTATGCAAACAAATGTTGACGCGAGCGCGCCGCACCGGCTACCGCAGCCAAAGGGTAAGGGTAACCCACTTTTAAAAAAAAACAACCAGGCAAGGTTCACAGACCAAGGAGCACACGGCCCCGTACCTGGAGTACCACACTCCAACAAGAGCACACAGCTCTGTTTGTAGACAAATTTGCAAAACAAGGAGCACCGCGCTCCCAGGAGCTCACGGCCCCTACCTGGAGTACCACACTCCAAGCTCTGTTTTCAAGGAGCACCGCGCTCCGACCAGAGCACACGGCTCTTCCCAACGCAGAGACGCTTGGGTCTCCAAATTGCCTTTTGCATCAGAACCATGAGTACCAGTTCACAACCCAGCAGCACACGCCGCGTGAGAGCAAGGCAGAAAAATTTCTTGGCTTTCTGCGGGATTGGTATGCCAAACTTCCCACCGTGGAGGGCGCAATCGCTGCCGTGGGGCGCAGGCTCGCCCAAACTCATCCAGGCCAAGATTCACAGCTGCGTGGAAGTAGGAAGTAGCTATATTGACCACGAAAACACCGCTGGCCATGGTCAAGGCGGGTGGTTCAGCAGCCGCCGGAGCATCTACGTCCTCCAGATCAGATGCACAAAACTCTGAGGAGGAAGACGAGCTACAAGACGATGTATCTGTCTCGGTTCCAGAATCATTTGCATCAAGACCAGGTCCTGCTGCAGCCAAACCAAAGGGCGTCCACACTAATCGATGGAGGGGCCCAGAAAGAGCCGATTCCGGCACAGGCGGCAATGAACCGCGCGCTTGCGGCGTGAGGGGAACCCACCCGCCACGAACGGAGTCTAGTACCTTCAATTGAGCTCTCAAGGCTGGGAGGACATCGTCCCGGCTGTACTTGGTTGTCATCTTTGACCCGCTGTCGCCTCCACGATGGTGACCCCACAAGCGACGCTGAACATGGTCCACGTCCTTAAGTTGAAGGGCCCAGGTTAAGCCTGTCGTTTTCAAGCTGTGCAGGGTATAGTTCCGCGCTTGCGCGGTCGAAAGGCCACCAATAGCTACCAGCAACTTGCGAAATTGCCCTAATGCGTAAGCGAAGCTGGCAGGCACCACTAGGCCCAGGAATCAAAAAATCACCATGTCCAAGATGGTCACATAGATGAGACACACCCTTGTCCCAACAATCATGGATCCCCAGAGTAAGCACTCCGAAGGGCATGCCATCCTTGGAAGTTTTGGTGCGATAACACCAGCCTCGCAAAATGCCACGCTCAATTTGACAAGAACCTAAAGCAAGTCTTTGAGCATCACTAAATCTCAACGCGCCCCAAATCATGAGCAGAAAGGCAACTAAGGCCAAAGTATCTTTGGTCACCACGGAGTCCAGATCTTTATGGATTTTTGTTTCAAATGCAGAGACCACAGAAAGTGGAAGAGGCAGCGCCTCTTTACGTGGACTCAAACTCGCTTGCGGCTCGCACCAGGCCACCACTACCGAATGCCCCAAGGTCGTCAACCAAGCGCCCCAACCCATCAACGCAGCCACAAATTTCAATGAAGCAATACCATTTTTTGCACCACGTGCAGTTTTACCATTGTACAGCAGAGCTTGTACGTATCCCACAAAGTCCATCAATGGTGGATTGTAAGCAGGCCACTCGTGATGGCAGACAAAGTCAAGCCACAAACGCCAACTTGGCAAGTGGCGACGCAGGGTGGAAGCCGCTTTCTTTGATAGCATACGCATCAAGCTAGGCTGCGCCAAGCCACCCAAATCCACAAAATTTGGCGCGTGTGGCAAAAATTCTTCAAGCAGTCCAGCCCACAAGTGTACCCACTTTTGCGATTCAAACTCATCTGAACGCGCAGCACTTGCACAACTGTCGCGAACATGCAGCGTCATAGCCCAACGTGATGCGCCAACGTATTCAATGGCTGGGGCTGCAGCAATCTCTGACGGAGCGAGCGCAGGACTGCGGGAGAACCCCCGCTGCCGCTTGGGGCAAGGCAGTCCCGGCCGCAAGCTGCTCACGTCACGAGAAGCTGCACGCACCGGGCGCGAAGGCCGCGGTAGCGGCATCCCAGGTCAGCAAACCAAAAAAGAATTTCTGAATCCAAGGGAAATAAAGCGAAAAAGCCAAACCAGGCACAAAACACTCAGGGCTTCTTGACACTTGACCCAACAAGCTCACCAAGCAACAGGGTCGACAGCCAGGGTGAATTAGAGAGAGTGGTATTCTTACGTGCAAGCCCATAAGAATCCTACACTTGACTAACCAACCAAACAAAACAATCATATCGGAAGACACGACTGGGGTAACAAACTACTTCCAGGGATGCAGGTCACAGGGAGATTCTCGACACGCAGACTCTGGATCTCCCTCTGCTGCCAAGCCGGCGCCTGAGTGAATCGCTTGCTGCGGGTTGCTACCTGGGACCTATCCGACCTATCCTACAACACCGGCCCTCGGCGTGTTGGTCGAAAGCTGGGACCTAAGCTTCTAGCCAAAACAAACCCTACAGGCCAAAAACCTCCTTTTACCGGACTTGGTCGAACACTGCTGTTCATGAATGAAATAAAGGACAAGGTCTTACCCGGTCTTTGGCAGGAAATTGTTCCTTCTAACCACCCGACCGTACATTCAACTCTTTCGGAGAAGCGCTGCTGTTTTCAGGTCGTTCAACAGGGAAGCTCCGATTCATCGCACCCGGGGAACAATCGTTCAATCGTTTGCGCTTTGGAGGCCTCTGATGGTCATCGCAAGTTCCAGTGGGCGGGAAAGGTTGATGTTTCATTTGATCACATCCCCAGTGGTGTTGGATACTCTGAAAGGTAGATCCAAACTCCAAACTCACCCATAAGGTATGGATCCCTTCGAGTTCCCTTGATATGTCCTACAGAGCTGGAAGCTTCAGCTTCAACTCGAAAGCAAACAACTTACAGGAAAGGCTGGATCGTGATGGTTGGCTCAGGCCTCGGACTCGGTGGGAACGGACCCACCGTTTCGGTCACAGTCCGGTCGAAGCAACAGCTGTTTCGTCCACCCACTTAGGATCCGCACTCCGCCCATGAAGGTGTCCTTGAAACTGCTGGCGAACTGGCACGGTCACGGGCCGAATCCCAAGCGAATCCAAAGAGGCTCATCTGAATCCAAAAGCCGAATCCACCAGCTACCACCCACCCAAGCTACCACCTACCCACGTTTGCAAAATGACCAACGCCCATGGCGGGCAAATGAACTGGCGGGTCACCTTGTGGGCTCTTGATGGTCACTTGGGATACTTGGGTCACTTGAAATGCACTCGGAATACACCGTTCAACCGTATGGCCATTACACCGTGGAGTCATCTCGTGGAGTCACTGGTGCTTTCTCATGATCATGCTGTAGCGATTCAAGAGATCACCAGTGTATATCATCGTTGGAATGTTACTTGTTTTGGAGGCTGGGGGGTGTTCAATAGCAGGAGGCACCAATATATATAACACACACAAACACAAAGGCACGACAAATAGAACATGAGGCAATTACACTAAATTTAAATACAATAAAACTACAATGACAGCATATATTAAGTCTACAAAACAATCCTCAAAACAACGCCAAACAATCACAAGCAAACTGCCAGAGGCCAAGCCGATGCCAAATTCGCCGCATGGACGTGAACACGAAACGGTTCTGCTTACGATCAATGTGGTCACTGGGAGGAACCACAGAACCAGGATGAACACCTGCAAGCTGGCATATGCCATGAAAACTCAAAGGGGACCAGCAATTATTTGGTCCAAGGAAAGCAAAAGGGCTGATCCATCAAGTGAAGAGCTCACCCAAAGATGTTCTAACTTGCACTAGGGAAACTCTTCATACATCAGGAAAGGTTCCAAGCATGTTCCACCTTTCCAAAAACATTCATTTTTGCCAGTCACAAGCAAACATCCACCAATCAGTCTGAGAGTAGTTTCTTGGTAGATTGGATGCGTGACACATCCACAAAAGCTTTGTTACGGCTAGCATTGGTTATGTTTCGCATACCATACCGTAGACCGTATACATAAATTTGTTCTTGTGCTTCCACTGAGAAGAGCCCAAGACCCGTCGCCTGATTGACACGTCCCGAGGCCTCAGAGTCGGTGAGAGAAACCGTTGAACACCCCGCGGCGACTGAGCTTCGCCGTGGCTTCCCCGATGAGAGGATAAATGGTGAAAAGCTAAATATGTAATTAATGTAATATGTAAAAAAAAGAACATAACACAAAAACGCAGTATAAGCATGTATAAGCAATCGCCATACATATATATATAGTGAAAATGGGGAATCATGTCTGATTCCGGGATCCGTTCGACTATTGTCAGACTTTTGCGTGTAGTCACCCTGAGGATGTCCATTCAGCGCCAGGCTCTTTCACATGCTGAATTTGACTGCAGGAATGCTTACTAGAATCCGGAAACAATGAGTTTTGGGAAACAGGCATGCTTACCTCATAATTGGGATTTGAGCCAAAAGTCTTGATAACGGTTGTTTATCTCGTCATGCTAGGTTCTCCAGGAGTCTCAGTTTGTTGAGTCGTCCATGAGCGATTGACCTACCTGATGTCAGTCGTTGGCTCCAGGTTGAACGACCCATCCCCAGGTTTCACCAGCACCGCTGGTGAACTAGTACGGTTTGTCGATCTTCTATGTATATGTATGATTGTGTATGTACACATACATACATATGTACGATCGCCAGGAAATGAATCCGGTCACTGGAGCCCAAATGAGTCCAATGTCTTTCTGCATATGGTCCTTCTTGATCTAGTTTCACCAACTTCCTGAAAATCACTGCCCAAATAGAACACATAGGATGCCCAAGTAGTTTTTTTGCTGTCAAGTGCTTGGTGCTTTCAACCCACCTCCAAACATTCCGTGATTGGCGAATAGAGATGGAAGATCAAACGTCTATTGAAACCACAATCCATGATCCTCGAGCGCAAAGCACTGCTCCTCCGTCGCCCCTTGTTCCAGGGCTAGCCACTGCATTTCCTCTTCCTCGTGCGAGCAGGACTCATCACACACACCTGAGTGGGAGCTCCAAAGGACCAAGACCGACTCCTTAAAACACATCACACTCGTCCAGTTCCCGATCGGCTCATACTCATACTTGCACCCTTTTACGCCTTCAAGCTGATGGATGTTTCTCTCTGTCACCCCCGACTCGCACATGTTGCAAAAGAGATTCTTCTGGCAATTCCGTCTTGCTCGATCAACTACTCTAAATATACTATATTATTATACAATATATTATATAGATTTATATAGTGACATACTTATACCACACTCCCCCCTGCTTCTTTCTTTCTCCCTCTCTCTCGCCAAGTCACGGTCATCCACCACTTGCATACAAAGAGGGCAACGTGGCGAACGTTTTAAGAGCCAGAAGGCAATGCATTCGCGATGAAAGCCGTGGCCACAAGGCAGCTGCACCACCTCAGCCGATTCAGCCATAAAAGGTCGCGAGGCCCCCCAAAGAGGCTGCCGAAGTCGTCCGAGGCCGCCAACGTCGAGCCAAGTGACATGTTCATCTTCAAAGTCATCCAGGCAAACCGCACAGGAGGTGGTGGTGCAACAGGAACAATGTCCTCAACGCACGTCGCGCTCCGACACTGCATCAAACATGTCCCTCGCAGATTTTGGAAGCGAGGAATCATCGTATCTCAATGTGGCGATATGGCCAAGCAAACATAAGGCTCAAGCAATGTCAGGAGCAAGCAAGCGTAGTAGTCTTGACAATTGACTAGGAAGTCAGTTGTTTCTTGGCGGCCCATGAGAGATTGTACTAGTTGCATCACGGAGGTCTCTAAGAATTGCAGCATCACAGGAGAATGGTGGGAGCAAAAGGCTCTCCTTGATGCTGGTCAAGCATAGTGGACGTAGCTAGTAGATTGGCACGTGGATCAAATGCAAATGGGGTAGTGTAAAAAACCCGTGTCTTTTGCAATACCTCGAAACCATGTTATCGCTTGTTTTACTCTTATTGTTTTCTCAGGTGAAAGCATCTTTGGTGGAAGATAACAAATCAAAAGATGTCATTTGGTGGTCTATAGTCCTACTTCAGGATCCAGTAGCACTGCTTGCACCAAGGCGTACACCGTCTTTGGTGGTAAAGACATGGCAGCAGCAAAGATCAAATATAGACAGCTAGACAAGACTACCACATCGCACACTTCTGCCCTTCAAAAGGTCTAATGAAAACAGTCAAATGGGTACTTGCCCACCAGGGCTGCTATTTGCTATATTTCCTTATTGTGGCCTTTATCGTTTTGTCATCGTTCCGGACACCTCTGCAGGTTGCCATTTCCGTGGTTCATGTAAACAGCTGCAGCATATGGACCAAACAGCCCATTCAGTTCCTAGTAGTAAGGCCAGGAGCCCCTAAGAGCTTCTTGTTCCTGGTAGCGATGCCAGGAGCCCCTAGTAGCTGCGTGTTGCTTTGTAGTAAGGCAAGGAGTCCCTAGTAGCTTCTTGTTCTTGTTCTTAGTAGTAAGGCCAGGAGTCCCTAGCAGCTTCTTGTTCCTAGTAGTAAGGCCAGGAGCCCCTAGTAGTTTATTGTTCTGAATGTGCAGGTATGATCATTGTTATCGTTTTTGTTTACTCTTACCGTTTTCTGGGGTAGGAATGCGTTAGTATAGTGTTAAGGTGCATGCCAATACTAAACCGCTGAGCGCGGGGTTATTACACCAGCCCAAATGTGCAATGGGTGCATCCATGTTTTCTGATCTAACCAGTACTGGAAAAAGAAAGCATCACACATAACTGCACTGAAATGTATACTTTGGGTCTATCCTAATACCTGCAACAGTGGATGATGATGGTTAGTAAAGGCCTTGTCCAAAAATAGTGATAATTGTTTACTGAATGTTACAGGTAATAAAGGACAAACCCAATGTAGACTCAAAGTAATTGTTTTGTGCTGAACTTCCTCACAAATAATTTCAAATAACTGAACAGGTCTGACCTGCAGCTCTGGAACGCCCTTCACCGACCTTCGTCGTGAAACACGGGGAAACCGCACCGACGCTGGTGGGTCTGGGTAGATGGATTCAAAGAAAAAAAACAAGAAACTGCGACAACCCAGCGGGTTGAAGTACCCCGCGGATTCACTGAATCCAAATTCGCTGTGAACTGGATCCACATGGATCCACTGGTTTCGACCAGTCGACGGATGCGAAACCATTTCGCCGCGTCACGTTCGGGGAGCGAGTCGAAGACCTCTGACATCAATGGCTGAGGTTTCTTGCTGTCGGTGGCCATCATCCTCGCTTGGCTAGACCGCCAAGCAGCGACCGTTGACGGGAGCAGGAGGATGGGTGCTGAATGACTGGCCAAGTATGAAAAGAGAGAGAGAGGGAGAGAAAACAAAATGCAACCACACCCACCAATCGACTGCCTTCCGAGTATTCATATCTTTTTAAGTCAAGAACACATTTGAAGGACAAACTTCAAACCAGGGTCCCGCTTGCGCCGCACACATAATATGCCCAAATGAGTTTTGGTCATGTTCCCGGTTCCATGGTTTGGGGTGTTCGACACACGGCGCAAGAGCGTGAAAGAGATCAAGTTCTTGTACTTCTCAAGTCCTTCCTGCGAAACTAGGAACATGTTTGCATTCGTCAACATAACTCCTCCAACACCAGTTTGCACCTGCCCACAAGGGTTTGTAAGTTCATGGACTCCATTATATATATGTTATAATATATACACACCTCAGTTACGCCCATATTCGGCGCTATGTTTTGTCATCCGCCGAATGGTGTAAGCCAAGGGACTCGCTCAAAAGGCCGTTCTCCAATCGGAGCCCCACCTAGCGACACTCAAGCACAAAGCATCAAAACTCACATGCGCGTACTATAACACCCATGAATGTGTGAGAAGTATTGCCTGCAACCAGTTATTACTTAATATGTGCGCTCATATGAGAGTTCCTTCTTGAACACCCGATAATAGTCGTCCTCCCTCTCAATCCTCTAGACTCTTGACGGGAAGAACCTCCCCCAAGCGCTGCCCCGAAAAGGAAAAAGACAGCTCCTGCCTCACTCCCCCTCCAAAAGGCATATATTATACTTAATTTTCAACAACATAGAACACAACATAAAGACGCCAACATGCCTCCATAAGGACCTCCGAGGATTCCTGCAGCGCGATAATCATGTCGAAGATGTTCCTCCCGGCAGGGCGATCGTAGACGGAGATCCCCGAGGGCGGACGGCGCGGTCTCGGTCTAGTCTCGGCTGACTGGGGTTCTTTTATCATCAAGTTGGAAAGTCCAAAGAAAGAAAAACAAGGAAGGACTGAAGGACTAAGATATACAATTTAGTAAGACTGACCTATAAAGCCTATAACTATATCGCGATCGATACTATGGGTAAGTCAAATCCTGATACTCGCCCCAGTGATCGTGCAGCTATAACTCTGCGGTACGCTATGGTACGCTGTAATACTGTAACTCCAGGAACATCTTTCCTGATTGGGGCTTGGTCAGGGAGATCCATGATTCAATGATCCATGACACTGGATTCAGGGGATCAGGCTTAGACGGCTTGTCGCGAACTGGACAGACTTAGCATGATCTTCGCAGAACCACCAAAGGCACGACGTCCATCCCAAATCAAAAATTGTGAAAGCTCACTTTTCGGGTGATTCCATCCTCTGTACGATTGCGAGGAGGGGGTCCTACACCTCATTTCCGAGTCCTGAAATGAGCCTTGCCCCCTCCATTTCCTAGTGGATATATAGTAACACGGATGTGATTCGTCCCACTTGAAAGGGCGAAACATGGGCGCGTTGAAGTGTAACGCGCGGTACCTTCCAAGTGGTCTCAGTATATCTCAGTCTCGTCGTCGTTCACCCCTCGCCCAAGCAGCTTGCCCAAATGTCAGTCCTCTTTCCGTTGACACCTCAGTGGCACGTGCCAGCTGACCCTAACTGAAGATTCAAACGGCAGTTTTTTGTCCGGAAGACTGCCTCCTTTCTGTTGTTCAGGAAGCGCGGCTTCCTTCATTGGCCCTCGCTGTGTTCTTTCATCATTCTTTGTTTCTATGTGAATGTGCTGCATGTGCTTGTTTCGCGATAACAGGCACCTTATTCTTGATGTCTCCCCTTTCATTCTCCAAGCTCACCAGCCTGGTTCCAACCAGTATACGTACAAACAATTATGGTCACCTGAAACTATTGGCTGCCGATAGTCTAAAAAGCACACACACATTCTTGAGATGACCTGACTAATGTTGACCTCTGATTAATAAACGCCCCTTGAATAATGTATTTTTTTCCCTGCACAAATCCTGCACAGATTAATAAAGGCCCCAGAATAAATTTGTCTTTTGTCAGGGGAGGGGTAGTGGTAGAATTGATTCCTTTTCCCTTTAATATTCCAGATGTCTTCAAAGTTAGGTTTCTTTATTCCTTTCATTTTAGTATTGCCAGAGTAGCTCCAGAGGTAGCTAAGTAAGGATTCTTCATTTATTTATCAATTGATTGGTTTTCTAGTATATTATTTTGGAGGCCTTGGTTGTTGGAGGGGGGAGGGGGGTGATTAATCAAGAGTCAACATTATAACGCTTATTCATTATACTATAAAGATCTATAAAACAATCGATCCAGTGAAACGCTGCCACAAGTCGAGTCAGCAAGTCAGACTGGCCCCACAGCCCTGCAATCTCACCAGAACCCCAAAAACGCCTTCAACCCGGACTTAGCAGAAGGTCCGACAGATCCTCCCCCTTGCCGCGACCTCGTCGCCGGCTCCGGACCCAGTCCGAGTGGCTCCGGATGCGGGAGCCGAACTGCACCTGGCGAGTCGGGTGCTCTTGGTTCCAGGCGGCCATCGGCGTATCCTCCAAGACCCGGGTGACCTGAGGCGAGCGCGCACGGGTTGATCCTCGACATCTCAAAAACAGGTGGAAATACTTGGGTGACCTGCGCGTGGTATTGTTCACATGTGTTCACCATGGCGACACAGGGGACACTCTCCAGCCGAGCAGGTGTCGCCAGTGGTTTTGGACTTCACCACATTCATCACATACGCCGAAAATAAGGGTGGGTGGCTTGTGGTGTGACTGCCAAGAAAGGCGAACATGATAGACCCCCTACCAACAGGATGTACCAAGTAAAGCCTGCATGTTGAATTGGACCTACCAAGTATCTCTGTTTACATATGCTGTGTACCTGCAACCTTGAAGTTGCACAACTAAATGCAGTTTCAAGAAAAGATGCCGTTGTGGATCGTTGCGGCGTCTTGGTTCCTTCGATCCCTTGATCCGTTATCCTGCTGATTGCTTTGAGGTGCGCCCTCCCCTTTGCACTAGTTCGGTGTTGGACTGTATTGTGCCAAAACTGGTAGGGATTTGGTATTACTCGTTTACTAGACTTTCTTTTGAGCTGATAGGACTCCTGATGTTCCCTCCGAAGTTTTTGTCTAAAGTTTTTGCTGTAATCTTTTGCAAACATGATGGCTTGGAGGTGGCGTGGGTTTCCTCTGGTGGGTCTAGAGTATACTGGTCGCATGTGACTCTCCATGCCCCTGTTTGTTCCGAGCGTGAGCCAGTTGGAGGTGATCATAGCGGATCAAATGCTGGCTGACATCGTAAGCAACTACAAAAGGAAAGGTTCCGTCTGGAAGCTCGCTGAAGACTATTCCCCGTGTGTTGAAGCTGCAGGAGACTTGGCTAGCTGATTTGCAACCCTGAGAAGCTCAAACAGCTACTGAAGGTGAAATGAAATGACTTTTTCATGTGAAACTGAGCTATCTCAGTGTCCTAAGTGTCTCAGGTCAAGCACTGGAAACGGAGGGGCAGCTTCACAGTTCTCATGAGTTCACTCATGCCCACTTGGCGCCTTTGTTCGGTCGGTGCCGCACGGATGAGGTGCAACCGTGTGGTCTTTCAAGCTCGAACATCACCATGCTATGGTGTCTGGCCCCTACCATGTCACTCGATGGGCTATATGGAAAGTGCTATAGCGGACGATGAAGCGCACAGCAAGAAGCTTTTGACAAATGGCACCCTCCTTTCTTGGCCAGGTCCAGAGTATGTTGGGGTGTGCAAGAGCTTGGATGCACAGAAGTAAGATGAACTTTCATTCTTTGTAGCTCGTTGCTGAGGGTGTCCTCAATGGAACAATTCCGGTTGATGAAGCTAAAAACCAGGTGGGCAGAATCCACAATTTTTTGTGTTCAAATTTTATGCTGCAATGCTTTCAACGGGGGTTGGTCAGGTGGGTCCAAGGTTGCGACAACTGTGAAGCCTTTTGTTCCTTGAGGTCAAGATGCTTGTAGTGCATGGTCGACAGACCTGGTTGTGTTCATTGCAACGCAGTGGGGATCAGAGAGTTCGTCAGCCAGATTTATGAGACTCTACGAAAATAACAAGAACAGGGACTTTTGGCTTTAAAGTATCTGTTTCCAAAATACCTTGTACCCTACAATAGCCTTTCCCATGGTTGTACGTGTTCACAGTGTTTGGGCGACGGCAACTTTTTGGTTGAATACTGTTGTCGCCCAGGACCCTGTGGTGAACAAGTTGTGTGTGCTCTTACTTCCGAGGGTATCGGCCATGCAAAAATCCTCCCAATGCTGCAGAGCCAAAAACCAAGGCACGATGCAGGCATTCTCTCTTTTTTCCTCTCTCTTTCTCACTCTTCACCTTCTTCACCGTCAGGCGTGGCAGCAGACGTGGTTGGGTGGGGAGTGGATGTGGTTCCGGTATGTTTTGAAAATAGCGTCTTTGCATGCCAAAACGAAGACAGCATAAATAAGTGCCAGTTGAAGATCTAGGCATTATAGGTTTTTTTGTAAATCTTATTGCAAACAGTGGATTGAAAATAGATTGCAAAACCCCCCAAAGGATCCCATTTCGGTGGGTTATATTGACCCATATTGACCACCATCTTTTCAGGACATCTTGGACTCTGGCGCCAAACCACACACCCTGTAACCACTGGCGCCACCACACACCCTGTAGATGCACTTCTTCACCCTGGACTACACGCCACGGACTCATGTTTCACGCCAAGGGGCCAACAGAAGCCGATCGCTGTATCGAATGCTGAAGCCACAATGTTCAAACGCATTCCTGGAAGGTGGCAGGTCAACGCGCACTAGTGGCTGATAGGTCAAGCCCTGGTTGATCAAATCAGAAGGTCAATCGGCTTCGTGGTTCTGACGCTTCAGGTTTTGACCTACATAAAACAATACACAATTATACAAGCATAGACCCCGAACAGCTTAGTTGGCAAGATTTGTTGGTGTGGTGGTGGGCGGCCGCAGCCCCAGCCCCTGCCTCGGAAAGCAAGGTAAACAGGACAACAGAAAGACCAAAGGAGGACATGAGGAGGACAACAAAGGACAAAACAATGACAACGCCAAAGGGACAACAGGACACCGTGAGGGAAGCACGCCAAGAGGAGAACAAGAGGGGAAGAGGGCCTGAGGAAAAAAGAAAAAGACAAGACGACGGGAGGAGCACGACCAGAGACAAGCTGGAAGCAGCGGCCACTGAGCACCTGAAGAAGGACAACAGGAAGGCAACGAAGAACGTGAGGAGGACAGGACCGAAAAGGTTACCACAAGAGGAGCAAAGGAGATCAAAAGAGGACATCTGGGCAGCCAACTTCTTCTTTCCTACGCGAGAATCCCGCAAGAAAAGGACAACAGGAGGACAAGGACAGGACATCGGCTGCTGGGTTGTTTTGTCAAGTTGTCCTGCTAGTGCCTCACTGCTTTGTAGTTCACGCTCGCATGTTGTCATGTTTACATGCTGACAGGCTGCCAGGTGGCCATGCTGCGGTCTTCACGCTTGCCGGCTGGCGCTTTCCTACTAGGTGCCACACAAGGCTTGCACGCGTGCAATTGCTTGTCACGTTGGACCCTTTGATTGCGCTTGGGGCCTCTTGTTGACACCAGCTTGGCTGCGGCTGCCAGCCTGTCTCCAGACTTTGTCCTCATGTGGTCCTCTTTTTGTCCTTTGTCTTTTCCTATTCAAGTCTTGGACTCATCTTCTCCTCTCGTTGTCCTCTTCTTGTCCTCCCGTTGTTCTCGAGCAGAAGGAGAACAAGAAGACGACGGAAGGACAAGAATAGGGCAAGAAGAGGACGAGGAGGACAACGGGAGAGCAAGAAGAACATAAGAGGAGGAAAAGGCAGCCGTGGCCAAGCTGCACACCAGAAGAAAAACAAGAAGGGAACAACAGGCGGACAAGAAGAGGACAACAGGAGGACAACGCCAGGACACCGCGTTTACCGGCACGGCCAGATGCGGCCAAAGGCTGTGGCCAGCTTCATTTTTCCTAAGAGAGAACCCCAACAGTAAAACTGTTTGGATTCACAGGACTGTGCAAGTGTCTGACAGTCTGATGCTCCTCGGCGTCAACTTGAGGTTTCCATCCAAACGAAACAACTGCCAATAATATTTGCCAATCTGAGGTGCTCCGGTATTCTTGTCGAGACAAATGAACTTCTTCATATATAGGGTGCTTAGACACAACATGCAAACAGTAACGCCTCCAGATTGGGGTGTTTGTAAGCGATAAACATCACCTGAAGATCCTTGAATGTGAGCTTGCATGTCACAAGTCAAACTTGTAAGACATCGGTCACAAAAACAGCATGTTGAACAGCTCATGAGAGGTTCATTCCCTTTATACCATCAGTTTCGCTGCCAGCGTTCTGGCGTGCCATGACCTGTCTGGGTGCCCATCCAACCGAGGCTCTTCTTGATTGTCACTGTGAAGGTGGGTGGGCCCATCAGGCCAGCGGCCTGGGGATGTTATCCGTCGGAAAAAAATGAATTGGCCTGCGGAGGTCATCCGTCGGGAGTGCTTCCAGTATGTTTGAGAAATAAGACTTTGAGAAAAAGACTTTAAGGACCTACTAGCGATGCTAACCAAAGGAGCCCAAAGGGTTTACATATAGCGCTCTTGGACTTGATCAAGGGTTGTTTTGGCGGGTATAGGCGGCATAGGTTTCCAATTCTTGCGGTTTGGTATGGTCCAGTGCATGTTCACAGCCTCCCTAAAATGGCACATGGGCCAGTGAAGGGGGGGCTTGAAGAGGATGTAGTTGAGCTTTTGGCCCGACCTGGTTGAGGTATTTATCAGGACCCCGGCAGCAAACCCCGGCAAAGATTGACCTTGAAGAACGGTCTGCTCAACTATGAAATGGATTGAAATGGTATCAGAACTATGCACCCACCAACCAACCAGCCAATCAGTCCTTTAACCTAGTTACCTAGGGGCTCCAACCACATCTTCAGGTGGTTGGACATGGTTAGACCCCCCAAACCCACCCCAACTACCTTCTGAGGATGTGTTTGGAGTCCAGGGCTACCTGAGGCAAGTAGCTGAAGCTTCGATGGATTGATCAAATGGAGTCCACCAATATTAGAGCACACCACAAAGTAATTCTTTTGTGATGATTTCCCGGCCCTGTAATGATCAAAACATCAGAACCAACCAGGCTCTGACACGTATGCTTTGGTCCTGTTGCCTTCGAAAGGCATTTGAGGACGAGTGAATGGAACCCTAAAAGCAACGCCACATCCGTGATCCGATTGCAAGCTGAACCCTTGGACTCCCCACAAAGTTCAGGCATCCAGCTGGTGGTGCCATTGGGATTGACGCCAACTCCGAATAATTCGATCCCTTCACGCGGACGGCGTTTGAACCGAAACTCCAAGTAGGACGGTGTGTCCATGACAGCAATCACTGGGCCAGTCAGAGAATCACAATAGAACCCACAAGATTTCTTCGGAACCACTGTACCTAGACATATACTTTGAAGAACGGGAAGTGACGGTCAATCCTTGCAAACACTGAATAATGCCCACCTTTAGCAGGGGTCCCCAAACTTCAGGCTGAACTCCTGGAATTCCCATGCACTGGTCCTCATCAACCCCACTGGTCAAACCCCACTGGCCAAAATTCGATGTGCCTCCCTGGTTCGATGATGGGCCAGCCTCAAAACCAGCACTCCCAAGCTTCGATTGTTGCACTCAGTGCCACGGGCCCGATGCCGAAACGAGACATGGACCCAGCCTGGACCCCAGAAGCTGAACCCCCAAGCCGTCACAAAAAAAAAGATATCCCCAAAGGCGGGAACCACAAAGTGATCCCAAATGTTGACATATATCTATATATACTACCGGCAAGTGACTGAGGAGTTAGGGCTGCTAATGTTATATATACCAGGACCACAATTGCTGGTAGTGTGTTTCAATCTTATATACCACAATTGCTTGAACTTGCAGGAACCAAAAGTGGGTACTCCGATGTACTCCGGGAGCCAAACTCAGCAGCTGCATAGCTTCTTTGTCGCGTCCAGTGAAACGCCGGTTAGACTAAAAGAACAAAGCGGGGCACATCATGTATCATGTATATATTGCACCACAAGCTGATATGAAACCAAAATAAAACAACCTGCACGACTCTATGATCAACATCAAAGGGAACATGCGGACATCATGGTGAGTACCATGTGGTCCAGGCTTGCTTTGGCCCGGCTCTGCTCTCATGATTTGCCCAGCGGAACGAAAGGAACGAGCGCGTCAGCGTCATTAGCGACATTGGCATGGCATGGTGTCACCTCAGCCAAATATAAATCTCACATCCTAAGCTTGACCTCGGAGTCATAGACAAATACAGGACACCCATAGGACACTCTTGGGTACCTATAGCATATGCTTGCTTGCAATCATCCTTGAAGAACAACGTAACAAAAAGCGCTTGCAAGTGGAAACAAGGTGTATGGATCTTCAGCGGCAGATTGTTTTGGACTGGTCAAGCTCTGCTGAAAGGGCTCTGTACCTGATCTTTATGCTCCCAGTGAGGCTGGCAATGAAACTCCAAGAGGATCTCCCAGCCACTCGAGACCGGGAGAAACAACATCGGCGCCCACATCCGAACCCTTCACCTTCCACGATCGGCCGATCGGTTGCCCCCTCCGATCAGGTTGTGATTCGGTTCCGATTGGGTTCCGATCTGCATCTTTGGCAGCTAAAGACCTGGAAGGTCTCAAAGGTCACTGGCACCAAACCCGAAGAATACATCTCAGCAATTCAGCTGAAGGGTGTTTGTCTTTTTGTAGGGTGATGAAGGTTCAAATCAAAAGACATTTGGGTACAGAGTACAAGTTCAGTCCTAGTGATGTTGTTTTGTCTTCCTCATCCTTTCTGTCTGGAACGAAGTCCTTCCGAAGTACTGGTGTAAAGTGAACGAGTTCAGTTCAATGCTTCGAAGACCTATGGTGACCCTGAAACAAGTAAATCCACATGTTGTAAATTCCCTCGAAGCAAGTGGATTTACATTCAGCCTATCCATTCCGACTGCACAAACGTGTACCATTGGTCCCCTTGATCCCTGTAGTCAAACACAAAGCAAGCATTTGGACGCAGCAAGCAGGACTTTTGACACAACGACCACGATGATCCAACAGGCGGAAATACAGCGTGGTGTTGAACACCACTGAAACATGATTATTGGAGCCTGAGCGGGCGGATATTATGCCAATGAGATTCCGTGATGAAATGTGCACCCAACGCCTGCCAGGCAAAACACAACTTGCAAACCCGCGGCCATTCGACTTAACCCCATCTTCGCTCTGAGCCACTCAACTTCCAGCGATGTGCTGCCGCAGCACCTGCGGACAGCAAACACTACAGGATTTGATTGGATCATTGGACTTGTCAAACCACAATATGCGAGCGTTTCTGAAAATGTGCAGAGATTCCTATGGCATAACACCTGGCTTATGTCATCACACCAGCATTGTTGGTGACGAAATCCCGAAACAACAAAAACAATTTATTGCATTGAGAACCTTGGCTCTTTGCTAGGGGCCAGCTTCCTGGCCGCAGTGGCAGTTTGGACTTTATGAGTGGCCCACTGAGTTTCCTTTTCCGACAGTTCAATGGCTTTTCACCATGCCATTCCGGGAAGGATGTCAACTACACCTGCTGCAGTGGATGAACGCACCACTGCAGTTGATCAGTTGATCACTTTCACCCTCGGCATCGCCACATGCAAGGTTGTTTTTACCACTTCGAGGACAGGTTTTTGGCCGCCTGTTTTTGTGTTTTCCACCCTTTTGCATGAGTTTCCTGGATGCATTCCAGCTTCATTGACCTCAAGACCCTGCCATCCTGAAGATGGTTCTCCGCTACTGTCGCTACAATCTGGGCGTGCTGTACTTTAATGATTGTTGGACATGGGGCTACTGTAAATATTCTGAAGTGTAAGTTTAGTGTGTGGGGGGAGTGTGGACGTATGCGTGCGGGCACGCACGCGAGTGCGTGCGTGTTCTCCTGGAGGCACCTGCAGCATACTCCCCAAAAAACAATATAGCGGCCGCCTGATTTGTTGAGACGATTCCGAATGGACAATGGACACTTGGAGCTCTATGGTACCTGCCTATGACAACCTGAATGAAACACACATATGAGAAATCCAAGTTTTGCACACCACGCGTGGAGACCGATTTCAGAGTTCTGCATGTAAAAACATGTCTGGTCCGACTTTTCCTGGAACACTGACCGCCGACCGCATTTCAACAAACAACAAACGCTTCTGGCGCATTGTCCAAAAGTGGGTGCCCAACACTCCAACCTGCTTAGTTTGCTCTGATCGACCATCTGTTTGCTGCCATACTAACCGCCTTTTTCCCTTTCTTCAACCCCTTTGAATTTCACAAACCCCTCATCCCATGGTCCTATTGCCAGTTAACATGCCTTCTCCAATTAACTCTTTAGGATCTCTCCTCATGAATATATTTAGTCCTGGGGATCTCTCCTCATGATGGACTCCCCGTTAAAGACACTATACATTATAAAATATTAGGTACCAAACCTTCTGGAGGGGTTATCATCATGGCTTTACATTAATCCATTAATCTTCTGGCATCATCCGTCGGGTTGAAACGTCTGCATTTTGCTGAAGATTCAAGTTCCGTCAAGTTCAGGGTTACTGAAGGAGGACAAGGAGGAGGAGGAGAAGGAAATGAGGAGTCATGAGGAGGCTGATGACGAAGCCTCCAGCTTCTCGGAAGTTGGCGTGCCGCCGTTCCCACTCTTCTTTTTGCTGATCAGCCTACCGGCCAAATCTTTCCTTCCAGCCAGCGTCTTTGCTGAGTTGTGTATCGCAGGATCTCCTGCTTCAGCAGGTTGCTGTTTGGCCCAGATTATCTTCATCAGCTTTGCTCAGCAGTTCGAGGCCTTCATTTGGATCAGCGAGCAAATGCTTCAAGAACTGCTTCAAACCAGCATGTCTTGAGCTTGCTTTGAAGCACCCGTTAGAAGGCAAATGGAGGAGAGTCTTCCGGCACACGTTCATGTACTTTCTGGTTCTCGTGCGGCGCGCGGTCATAGTTATGCTTCTGAAGCAGCTGTTATATGTATAATATAAATACTATAAATATTATCATATTATTAAACTATATATACACAGTATATGAGAAAATGAGGAGTAGTAAGGTTCTGGAGTCAACAATGTATTGTTTCTTCAGCCTTGCATCAAAGTGTCTTGCCATGTCCGCAGCAAACTGCAAATTGGGGTCTTGGGATTAGACGGGATAGAGAACGTCCAAGAAAAGCTTGGATGGAATACTTTGACAAACACACCTGTGATACTGCGCATCACCCCCTGTGATATGGTGTTGTTTGTTGTATTTGTTGATGAGTGTACTATATATTGTTTTCCCAGGAACATGCAAATTGTAAACCCAATGTAAGTGGTGTTTAAGGTAACTTAAACATGTTTCCCATTTATAAGCACGCAAGGAGACCTGAACCATTCTCCATCCTCTTATCCTTGGACTTAGACCCTTTAATACTCTTGCAATGACAAAGACTTGCATTGAGGCCTGTAGGAGACCGGCATGGACCTGGATGAATCCTTGTCACCATCACAGCCCCATGTCCGACCGACGCCTTTTCCAACTTCAAAGGCATTCCCAGGCGAGGCCAATCCTCAGTGCAGCAGGCGAGGCCAATCGTCCCTCAACCTGTGGAGACGAAGTCGTCTTCCTGAAAAAGGCACCACGGGCGTCGTCTGCCCGTTTGCATCAGATTGACGCCACCTCCCTGCACTATCAAAATCAAAGTCCGAGTGGACTGGCCACTGGATATAGTATCCGAGTACACTGAGTACGTGGGTCCATTTGAGCCGTGTTTTGTTTGCGCGTCCTTGCTCCTAGTAGCGATGCCAGCAGCCCCTAGGTCTGGGGGACAGCCGCTAGGTACCCATACCTCCGTGAAGCTTTCGCCAATCTTTCTCCCCAAGCGAATTTGCCTACGCAAGGGTGGTGTACGATGTTGTAAGAGGTGCTTTCGCGAAAGGCTTTGCGAGGTTTTGTGTTAGCTTCGGATCATTCTACAAAGCACATGCATGAAAAACACGGCCTTCGCAACGAAACGCAAGCCTTCGCGCGTCATGAAACACGTGAGGAAATGCTTTCGCAGCCAAGACAAGAGTTCCTCCTAACATGCAGCGCTGTGTTCCAGGAAGAATAACGCAACTCATTTCCTTTGGGCCCCTCAAAGAACTACACTACATGCTTATCATATATCTGTTTCATCTAAGTGATGAGGGTCAAACCCTCCGGCCATGAAGCCTCTAAATTATAAGGCTCCAAATAGCCTATTTCTCCCTCATCGATATTGATCACTGAAGGTTCTTGCCACAATGATGTACTGCCTGTCCCTCTGTAGCATCTACCATGTTCCCCCTGCCCTTCCGGAGCGAACTCGGAGCACTGAAGCCGGGTGGCACTTTCATCCAGCTTCTTCAGGTCAGCCACCTTAGGTCAGTCGACTCGCTGGAAGCCACCCCCTCGGTCGGTTGACCCCGGGGGGTCCTAGCGAGCGAGCCATGCTCCACGGGTTCAGTGACCATTTGTGAATCGTGTTTGGGAAAACGTCTTCGGCTAGGATGGCACATCCCATCCGATGATGGGGAATTTCACTTGAGCTAGTGAGGTGTTTGACCCTTCTTGGAAGTTCTGGCACTTTCGATGCAACGGGCCTGGCTGATCCAATGCTCCTGGCTCAAGCGGGAGGCTTCCTTCTTCAGCTCTGCCTGACGGTCGAATCGGCCGTTAAGAGAAGGAAAGTCAACCACCTGGGAGGGCATGAAATGCCATGAATAAATTAAGGTCTTTGAGCCTTTTGCCTTCACCCAGGTTTGCTCGAAACAACCACCATGAACGGTTGACAAAAATGTATATTATTATCTGCGAGGACCTTGAACTGTCCTTCGGGCACGTCAACACCTGGTAACACACCACGGACTGCTAATTGCTAACTTATCTTCAAAATTCGACCGTTAATCAATTCCACCGGTTGGTTACAAAGGAATATCTTCGTAAAGCTGATGGATGTATGTCACGCGATGTATTTATTGCATGATGACAGGAGAATCCCCAAGCGAGGTGAATCTGTGAATCTGGTGGTGGCAAAATCTGCAAACAATCTGGCTGGAAGCTCAACGTGTAGCAGGGACGGTGAACATGACATTGTTCCACGAGAAAACATGGCATTGTTTGGTGAGTTCACAGTTCACACATGTCTAGAATCTATGCACTGTGCAGTGACCAACAAATCCATGAATCACATAGAATTTAGCAGTACCTGGACCTGCCCCAGAATGGCCATGCGGAGTGACGTAAGGCGACGAAGTAAGCCGCACCGTGTCACGTTTCGGCCTCGGGTCGACCAAGCAAGCTCGACAAGGTCTGCATCACCTCGGGCGTTTTACGGACAAAGTTGGGAAGCTGAGGCACCAAAGAATGCAATGATCGGTTAGAAGGGTAGAGGGGTAGGCTAGTTGCTGGTTATGCTTGTGATATTATCATGTTATATCAGACTCTGTTGGAGGTAAGTTGCTGTTAGAACATGATGATCAAACGGACGTTTCGTCCCGTGTGTCCCTGTGAGTGTCGTTGTTCCATTCCCGTGTCGTTGGTTTTGTTCAGTACAACGACCTCAAGGCAAGGACGTGATGTACACAAACATATCAAACATTAGGAGCCGAAACACATAAATAAACAGAACATGCCAGGGCGACATGCACAAATGATATGAGATGAGCTAAAATAATTTCGAAGGTTAGATGGGATAAACAAAGAGATGATGCGACAGTGCGAGGCCAATGCGGCTGCGACTGTGAGACACACACTCTGACATTGGTTTTCAGTGACTCAGTTCCCACGTTGAGAA